AATGTCACGTTTGCAACAAGAGATTTTCAGAAGTGCACAAGTTAACACAACATAAAATGTCAGCACGCAAGGGAAGTCTGAGTTTTGAGTATGATAACTGCAAGAAAATTTTCCCACAACGTAAAAGTCTCAAATGTTACCTAGTAGTACATTCAAGAGATGGCTTATTATTCTGCAACAGTTGTGGCAGGGAAATTATTCAATCACACGGACAAGGACATGCTAATGAGATCAGGCATTAAAATATGGAATTTTTACAAGGACACACTTTGCCTTCAGAGGCATATTTTTGGTATAAATGCGCAGACTCACGAGAACGAGTGGCGAAGTCACAAGTTTAGCGTAAAAGAAGTGAGCTTTTAAGGGGGTCTCTGAAATGGCATTTCCTCTGAGAACAGAATTCGCAAAATCTTTGGCCATTTTGCGTGGATTACAGTTTAATATATTTTCAAGTACACACTTTTCAATTTACAAGGGCACATTCACCTTTTACAAGGACACAAAGTGTGTACAAGGACACGCTATTTTAATGCCTGAATGAGATACTGGGTGATGATCATTTTGTCTGTGACAAATGCAGCAAACAGTTCCCTAATTTTCAAAGTTTAAATCAGCACAAGGTGAAAGACCATGGTATGTCCTACCAATGTGATTTGTGTAAGGAATTAGAAGCAAGAGAAGCAACTGGTATGGGTTATATCTGTTGTGTCTGCGATGTCGAGTTTGAAATTGCCACTGAACTTGAAGATCATATGAGTATGCATGACAATGTGCTGCCCTACTAGCTGGGCAACATAAATTGAAACAAATTTGGGTAATACGTTGTTTTTAATTGTTTGTTTTTATTTTTTTAAATACAGTATAAACTGTTCGGTACTGACAATGACATTGAAATTTTGGTGATAATTCATGTGTTGATTAAGGGATCCATTTATAAACTGAGATAATTTTTGTAATTATCTGTTGTTTTTATTGGAAATTTATTAAGTTTGGATTATTTATACTTATAGTGTAATGAAATGTTGTTGAAATATTATTACATTTTATAGTGATATTACTTCATTTTATCATGGCAATATTATATTTTGTAAAGTTACTGTATTCGCCCTATTACAGTCGTGCCAAGAGAAGCTAGCGTGCCGAAAAATGTTCACCAATTCATTTCCTAACTTGAATGGACACCTCTGAAAATTCCTCAACAATTTGATAAGTTCCTTAAAAAGTTCGTAATTTCCTGTTTCATTGACCAATCAGATTGCTCAAAAATAAAATTTGATTGGTCAATGAAACAGGAAGTTAGGAACTTCAGAAGTGTTCCTTCAAGTTTGGAAATGAATTGGTCAACATTTTTCGGAACGCTTCTACTGGTACGACTGTGAGCCATCTTGAAATCAGGACCCCTCTCTAGT